CTTTTTCTTCAATGTCTTTTGTTTTTTCTTCAATTTCTTCTTATTCTATTTTTCAATTTATTTCATTCTTTCATGTTTTCAATTTATTTCATTTCTCTCAAACATTCTATACTTCTTTTTTTGTATCTTTATTATCACTATATATACTCATATTTTCTTTTTCTTTTCTTAATTCTCTTTTTTATTCACTATTTTTGTTTCTATAGTTACTTCTTTTCCTATTTTAATATACATTTTATTACTATTTCATCGACATCATGTATCACATTGAATAGTTGTTTCATAATCGTGTTTATCTACAAAAATCGATAATGTAATTCATTAATAATATTGATAAACATTGTTATATTGTTTGCATAGAAAAGATTTTCCAAACAATTCAAGCGAATAATATAAAACTGAAATTAGTTTAACAAATATTCATTAATAGAAATATAATAAAAGTAAAGGTGTATTATTTTAATAATAAAATATTGTTGTATTAATATACACTGAGAAGTAAATAATAAGATAATCGAGTTTTAGTTATCATTAATTATTTAGAAATAAGTCAATATATTTTTATTTGAATAAGTAAATTAGTAAATAAAAGCAAGCATAAATATAATTACTCTTTTTAGAAGTAAATAAAAGTAAAAAATACATGAATTTGAATCAATAATATCTATTATAGAATATTTTATTAACATAATAATTGTTAACATGATTAAGAATAATATAAAGAAAGAATAACCACTGAATAGAATAATTATAGTACTTGATATAATAAATTTTAAAAGCCAGATAATTGTTTAACTATAAATGATTTTATATTGAATAATTAATGAGTATAGAAACTATCATTAATATGTTTATTTTTATACATTTCTTCTTTAATAATATTTAGAATTGAAAGAGTTAATAAAATATTATAGTGTGGAAATAACAAGAAATAAAGATAAACAAATAAAAGTCTAGATGAGATATTTATTTAATTCTAATTTGGTTTAAGTCAATAAGAATAGAACTGAAGAATATTGATATTTAATGGTTTAATATTCTCTATTTGTTCATAAATTATTAAGAACGTAATGAGTTACAAACTAAGGGGAATGAACAATATTATATGTGTATTAGAAATAAATATATCCTAATAATTTGAATAAAGTATTCAACAAGTTATTAAAATAAACAGCACTAATTAAATAATAATGTTCAAACAAAAGAAATTACAACAAAAGTTATCATCGTAGTTGATGTAAACAAAAGCCTTTAATTTAAAAAATGTTATATAACTATGAAATGATTAATTAATACATCTTTCTTTTAATAAACATATAATAACAAAAGTTAATGGTGTTTATTAATATGACAGAGAAGTAGTAAATAAAAAGGAAAAACTCATTTTAAATGAAAACAATCAAAAAAATATAATTTTACAAAAGAAACAACTCCTCTAAAATGAAAATAAATTCTTTTTATTCTAATTACCATTCAGAACTTTCCTAGAACTTTTGGTACGTAAAACACCCATGTTCTTAGATAGATAATGATACTATAAAAAATACACAAATAGATAAAACAGAATCAGATTTTTGTTTTTCGAAGTTAATAATAAAAAAAAAGAAAAATTTTGAACTTAGAAAATTAATTGACAAGGAGCTTTATGACAAAATTGTATTTCACTAAAATCAAGAATGGGGTGATAACTGACCTTTCATTTAATGTAAAAAGATTATCAACTTCATTTGGTTCAGAAGAAACAGATGTTCGAATAGCAAATACTCTTCCACATCATTGCGATTTTATATTACAAAACAAAGAAGATGATCATGGATTTCTCTTAAACTTTAGTAATCGGAATGATGTAACTGTGAACCACTGTATTGTTCCATATTTTTCACAATTTCAATTACTTTCGAATAGTGTAGTTCAAGTTGCTAATGCGTTGTTTTATTTTTCAAAAGATAAACCAACAGCAATATCTCAAAGTATTGTAGATGAATATTTTAAAACAAATGAAAAAATCACTGTAGAAGATGCATTTAAAATGGATGAAGAAATAAATAAAGAAGATGTTCAAACACTAAATAAAAAAAAGTCAACAATAATTTTACCGACACCAGACACTCAACAAATTGAAATTAAAAAAGAAGATGCAGTTGTTCAAAATATACCAAGTGAAATACCAATAGTGGAAACAAAAGCGAGAATTATTAATGACAGTCCAATAAAACATAAATCAAAAAGGATTTCAAAAAGAAGTTTAGATTATTCAGAAGATGATTATTCAGAAGATGAACCAAAAAGAAGACACCATCGAAGAAGAAGAAGATATTCAACATCAGACTCATCAAGCGAAGAATCATCTTCTTCTGAGGATGATAGAAGAAAAAGAAAAAGAAAACATAAAAGATCTCATTCAAGACATTCAAAAAGAAAACATCATAGAAAAACAAAAGATAGTTTTTCATCTTCAGAAGAAGAAGAACAACGTAGAAGAAGAAAAAGAAAAGAGAGAAAAAGATATTCAAGAAGTTCATCTAGATCTTCAAGAACGTCAAGTACATCAACTTCAGAAGAAAGACACAAAAGAAGAAAAACAAAGAAAATAGAACAAATGTCAGAACAAGTAATAGAACCAGCACCAGAACAAGTAATAGAACAAATGTCAGAACAAGGACTTAAAAAACATAAAACAGCAGATTTAATTAAAAAAGAATTAATTGAAAAAAAAGGTCAAATTATTAAAGAAGAAGAATTACTTGAAAAGGAAGTTAAAGAGTCAAGAAATAAAAGAGATATGCCAAGAGCTTTTAGTAAATTTTTAGCAAGAAATACGTTTTATTTTGGAAGTAATGAACAATTAATGATAAAATATGAACAAACTATTAAATCATTTGGAGGAAAAACAGAATTAGGATACCCACCATTTCAAAGACATGTTATTCCAGAGTTTGACAATAGTGATGGATTTTTCCATGGATATGATTATAGTGAAGATTTAAGAGGAACATTTTTAGTAACTGAACCTAACAATGAAGGACCAACAATTCCATACTTATTATGTATTATATGTCAAGTCCCAGTTATATTACCAAATTATTTTGATACAATTAAAGAAAAAAAAGAAGATCAAAATTTAATGGAATATTTAGCTCCAACATTCCCAAGTGAACTTAAAATACATGGCAAAAAACAACAACCTTATATCTTTCATCCTGCTAATGACTCTAAAAAAGATAAAATTAGAATGCAAGTTCCTTCAAAATATGGCTCTAATGAAAAACAATTGATTGAATGTTTCTTAACTGCAATAGGATGTCGTATTGTAGATAGGCAAATTGCTGCTTCTTCTCCTAATACAACTAATGATGGAAAAGACCATACTGTGTATACTTTTGTTCCTTTAATTGAATCAAATGTTGTTGATTTAAAAAGAAAATCACATAGTTCTCGTATTAGTGAGATTGTAATTGAAGAAGTAACAATTTATATGGATTGGGTAATTGAAATGTTAAAAGTTGATAGATTTATTTATCCAAAAGATTATTTAGCTTCTAAAACAGCACATAACTCAGAAGAGCAAAATGAATTTGATAATTTCTAATTTAATTTTAGATTTTTATTTTTACATTTAAAATAAAATAAATGAATTAAAAATCAATAATTAAAACTATGTTCATTCTTTATTATAAAAAGATGCTAGTGTAAATTAATTGATTTTTCATATTACTTTCTAATTTTGTTAATTTAACTTATATTAGAAGCATTTAATTGGAAAGAGAATCATCAAGAGAAAGATCCTTTTTATTTGTTGATAGTTCAGTATTACAAATGTCAAGGTTCCAGCTAATAAGAGTATGATGAATTTGATTAAATGTAGGTCTATCTTCAGGGTCTTGAGTCCAACATTGATTAATTAAATTCCAATAATTTTCTAAAATATCATTTGGTTTTTCAAGTCTATGACCTTCAATAACAAATTGAGGAATTGTCCAAGGTTGAATAAATCGTTCATCATCAATGTATGCTTGTTTTTCAGTAAACGTTTCATAAAGTATTATAGCAAATGAATAAACATCAGCACTATAAGAATAATTACTATTTGCTAAACATTCAGGTGCCATATAAGTTGGAGTTCCAATTCCATGAGATAATGGTTGTAGTTGAAGAGCTCTTTCAGAAATATTTCTACAAGTACCAAAATCAGTTAATTTACCACAAACTTGAGAATGTGGATTTAATGAATAAATTAAAACATTTTCACCTTTAACATCTCTATGAATAATATTATTTTCATGTAAAAATGCAAGTCCAACAACAATGTCTTCCATAAACTTAATTTTTAAATCAAAAGGTAATAATTCTTTTTTATATAATTTAGAAAGTGATCCATAATCTGCAAATTCTGTTACAATTGATATTTCTCCTTCTGTATAAACAGCTCCAACTAAATTAACTATACATGGATGTCTGTATTGTGTTAACATATTAACTTCATGTTTAAATTCTTTTTCTTGTTCCTCAGTTAAAGTTCTTGCTTTCATTTTTTTTACAGCAACTTTTTGACCTCTATAACTTCCTATAAAAACCATTCCAAATGCACCTTCACCTATAGCAGGCATTTGAAGTTTTAATTCAGTATGATCTAATTTCGTTGATAAATCAGATTCAATAATAATAGAAATTTTAGCAGTTTCTTTTATTTCTTCATCTAAGTCCATTGCAATAATACCAATTTCATCATTAACAACAGCAGTACATAACATTTTAATTATAAATTTAAGTTCAACTGCATAATCAGGTTTTAATGTAAATCGCATTGGTTCTACTGAAAGTTCATATCTATGAGATGCCCCTAATAATAGTTCAAAGAAATATGTTTTCTTTGTTGGGTTTATTATTTTAATAGTTTCTTCATATAAATTATCAACAATAACTTTTGATCCTGCATGTTCAAATGTTAGTTTCCATTTATCTGTTTTTAATGGGAAATTAGCATTATCAGCTGAAAGAAGAGCCATTTCCACACCACTACTTACTTTAAATGGTTTAATCTCTTTTTCTCTTTCTTTAATAATTTTTCTACGTCTTCTCCAAATTAAAAAGATGATAAGACAAATAATAATGACAATAAAAAGAAGACCAATAATTATTAATGAGATGATTAAACCAAGCCTTACTTTCTTACATGAAAGTCTATCAGATGTTTCTGAATATCCATCTTCGCATTTGGTACATCCTTTTTCATTACATTCTAAACAATGTTCTATAGTACTACATTCAAGACATTTATCATCTTCTTTAGACAAATATTGTGTATTTGGATTACATTTAGTACATCTTGTAATATTATTTTTTAATTCACATTCATAACATTCTGCTGGACATGGAAGACATTCTCCATCATTTAAATAAAAACGAGAAAGACATGATGTACAACCAGATGTAGTTATTTTATCTAAACAATTTGATAATGAAGGATATGTTTGATTGCTAGTAGGATAACATAAACTTTGAGTATCTAAAGAACTTTCTGAAGGACGTCTCCACCATAATGCATTACCTGTTTTAGGATCAGTAGTTGAATTACATGTTTGACAAGATTTGTCAGATAAACAAGTATCACACGATTCATCACAAACTTTACAATCAACACCTTGAAGAAAATGTTTATCATCACATTGAACACAATATCCCATTTCAGTTTTTTTGCAAATACTAGGCATTTTAACACATTTATAAATATCATTATGAACACCAAAATCTTCAAAATATTTTATCGTTGCTTCAGTATCTTTTTCAAGAGAATATCCAGCATTACATCCAGTACACCAATTTGGATTTTTATCACAAATACGACAAGTAATATTACACATTTTACATGTTGGTTCATAACTAATTTCTCTTTTTGATGTAATTGAATAAGGTAAATAATATCCTAGTTTAAAAGAAGTATCGATTGGTACATTAAATTTTGATGCCTCAGTTTCATCTAATGATTCATTATATGGAACATCATATTTACATTGTAAACAACCATATTGATCACCAACACTACAAACTCTATTATTTAATTTATTACAAATACCATTTGAAACATCAGTAAAATAATAATTATCATTACACCTAAAACAATATGAATCTGATTTACATAATTTACATTGAACTGGACATTGTTTACATTCACCTTCATTTCCTAAATAATAACCATCTTTACATTCAATACATCCCATTGTATGACTTGAACCTAAACAATTTATATCATTTTTACATTCTCCATTAATTAATGATAATGTATTATTACATTCAATACATTCTTTTTCATTTATGCATCTTTTACATCCATCACTACATTTAACACATATTCCTTTTTGAACAAAATAATTTTCTTCACAAAGTTCACATTGATTTCCATAATAATTTCCTGACGTACAATGTAAAATTGAAACACATTCACTATTTGGATTTGATGGATCTTTTAATGCTTTATCCCCTTTACAAAGATAACAATTGTCTTTTGTAGTACATCTCTCACAACCATCTCTACATTCTTTACATGAAAATGTTTCAATATCAAAATATTTTCCTAATGGACATTTACCACATTTATCATCATTTTCTTCATTTGTACAATCAATACATTCTTGTTTCTCTTTTCCATCGTTTCCAATTATTTCATAAAGCATATATCCTTCTTTACATTTAAAACATTTATCTTTTGTACATTTCTCACAATTCTTTACATTACATGAATTACATTTCATTTGTTCTATATAATATCCTTCTTTACATTCTACACAATATAATTCATCCCATGTTTTACATGTCTCTTGAAGACCAGCTTCTCTTTGCGCACATCCATAATTCTCATTAAGATAATATCCTTCTTTACATGAAGTACATTTTGTATCACTCCAACATGTTAAACATTGTTGACTACATTTTTTACAAATTCCTTCATTTTGACTCCAATACTCATTCGTTTCACATTGGAAACTTCCATTTGATAGACTTGCAAATATTAAAAATATTATCATTTGGTTTTTATAGTTTTTTTATAGTTTTTTATTTTTAATTTTTTGTTTTATTTTTAATTTTTTGTTTTATTTTAATTTTTTGTTTTTATTTTTTTTTCTTTGTTATTTTTAAAAATAAAAATTCTTCAAATAAGTTAATTCTATTGCTTATATTTCTATTTTTATTTTAACTTTCTCGTTTCTCTTTTATTCTTCTTTTTCTTTCTGATTCTTTTTTCCTCTGTATAAAAATAAATGATAAAAGTAAATGAAATGAAAAGGCATGTATTTAAAAGAAAGAGAATGAAACATTACTGAATTAAAGGAAATTCAACCAACATATTTGTAATTCTCCTTTTTATAAAAATAAATACATAATATCCAACTTTTTAAATCAAAAACTTCTTTTCGACGAAAATCAATGAACATACCTAACAACACAATGAACCACAACCCAAAAAAATTAATTATTTTATCAACCTCTAGTCAGTTAGAAACACAATTATATGAAGAGCATTTAAAATGTACGTCATGCCAATCTACCCCTCGTGAAAAGGATGTAACTCCTCGTGATTTCTTTGTTGAAACAGAAATTGCCTCAATTATTAAGAAAGTAAATTATGTTGATTATATCAGTGGAATAAATGGAAAAGAGTGCTGCACAACAATTGTCGATATGGAAAGAAGTTGTAACCCTCCTCTTTAGACTCTCTGTTTATGCTTTATTTAATTATTCTTTCAAAGAATATATAATTTATCATTTTGAATAACAACAAAAAGATTTTCTTGCCCTTCGTTTAAAAAGAAAGTCTTTCTAATGTTGTTAAATTTTTTGTTTTTGATTTAAAAAAATCTTTGCAGATAAACTAAAAAAATTTTTTTTAATTTAATCAGGAAGAATGAATAACTTATTAATAGGGTGTAGCCAAACAAAAAATCTATAACCCCTCTTCTCCCAATTTTTTCATTGCTCTTAAAAATGTGAACAAAAAAACACAATAACAATTAAGTACGCTAACCTTAAACAAATTAAATGGTACATTAAGACAATTAAAATATTTAAGTACATAATTGAGTGTTTAGTAGACAAAAGATGTTGCACCCATAATTATCACTATTATAATTATGGTAATAATTGTATTAATTATTTCATTCATCAAAACATTCAATTATATCTTATAATTATTTTAATATTAAATTTAAAAAATATAATGAGGAAGTTATTAGAATAATGACTGAATGAATCCAATTAAATAATTGAGTTTAGGTGATAGCTGTTTGCAACCAATAAGGCAATATAAAATCTAAAAAGGAGTAAGAAGAAAATAAAATGACTTATAGTAATTTTAAGATAATAATTTACATTACACATTCCATAAAGAAGTAGTACAAAATATTAACCAATAAAATAAGAAAGATAAATAAACGTAAAATAAATAATACAATTTAATAACATAGAAATAAAAAAGAAAATAACAATTATAAATTAAATATAAAAATAGAAATTAAATTTAACATTGAATCGTTACAACAGAAATAATTCATGTGATATTAACAATTAATTAATTATGTAAGAAAATAATTTTAA